AGAATCGTCACCCCATTATATAACAATATATGATATTATTAATATTTAATTGCTCAGAAAAGATAAATCTTGCATTATCCCAGCTACGGGGAACCAGGAACACTTGACCACTACCATCATTTTAGACCTCAACATGGAAGCAAAGAACAAGCTATAAAACTGCTTCGAATCTTGGGACTCAGTCATTTCCATCTGAATATTATAGCCCAGGATAAAAATAAATCAATTGTGAACGTAAGAAGAAACCAAAAGCTCCTTACATGCAATTCTAGAAAAAAAATGGATAAATCTCACACATTTAAAAATTTAAAAAAGCCAGATGCAGTGGCAAACAGTTTTTATCTCAGCATGTTGGAGGCTGAGGCAGGAAAATTGAGTTTGAGGCTAGATTAGGTATAAAATTCCAGTTGGACCTCACTCTCCCAGTCCCCAACCTGCCTGCTGGCAGAAGCACTACTTTCAGCAAGAACTCATCAGCCAGCACAGGATTCTATAAAGGAGGTCCTGGGACATCTAGGGCCAAACAGGCACAGCTAGACACCCAAAAATTTATACCAGATATTTCAAGGACTCTGCCCACAGAGACGCAAGACTACCAGAGACCTCTGACCACAGATGGTTATTAAAACTTTCCTGCCTAATGTCCCCTGCCTTCTTTCCATCCCTATAAAAGGGACAAGCACTTTTCTTTGTTGGGAGAGATGGTCTTAACAATCTCTGCCTGCCTGCACCCAAGAACAATAAATTCCATACCAGGTTTCCTTTACAGAAGCCTGGGGGTCTCTACTGGTTTTCCCCTCATCCCCTGACCCCTTTATGTTACATATGTTATGCTGAGCTACATAATAAGACGTAGTCACAAAAAAATAAAAAATAAACAAACAAAAAAAAAGGCTAGGCCTAGTAGATCACCCCTGAAATCCCAGCACTCAGGAAACTGAGACAGGAGGATCCCTGAGAGTTCAAGGCTAGCCTAGGCTAAGTAGGGAAGTTAAGGCCAGCCTGAACTATATACCAAGACCCTGAATCCAAAAACAAAACAAAAGACACTATTTAAATGAAATAGACATACACTATAAAATGGATGCCTAATAAAATAAAGCACACTACTAACTGGGCATATTTGCACATACCATAATCCTGCTTACTCAGGTCTTTGAGGCAGGAGAATCATGTTTGATGCCATGTGAGCAATTTAGTGAGAGCCATATGCTAACATAAAGCTTGTTTGTTTGTGTGTTCGTTTGGAAGAGACAGGATCTCCCTGGGAGGGGAAGAAAGAAGAGAGGAGGGAAGGGTGAGGGGAGGGAGAAGAGAGGGGAAGGGAGGGGAAAAGGGAGGGGAGGGGTGAGTTTAGCAGGGAAAAGGGAGGGGAGGGGTGAGTTTAGCAGAGGGGTAGTGGCACACACAGATTATGAACTAGAACTCTGAAGTAAGACTGCCTGGGGAAACATCCCAACACTACCATTCTTCATGTAACTCGGTGTAAGTCTTTTCTTCTTTGAGTCTGAGGCTCATCTGTAAAATGGGGATAGTACAGGTATCTACTGCATATCTTCATATTGGAATTGTGAAGATAACAGTTACTTAGCATGGAGCAGGGCAATAAGCTCTCAAGTTGTTATTGTTCTTGCAGCCTCCTACTCTTACCACACCCAAACTCCTTGCATTTCCAACCTCCAGGACCTTTGCACAAAACCACCTGCTTCCTCTGGCTGGTCACTCTGAACTGAATTCAGGTACTGGTGCCTTCCTAAACCCACTTCCATATTCTCCCATGAAAACCTGCCCTTCCCTCTAGACCACATCTATATAACAAGTGACTGTACGAGTGGGTCTCTCTCAAGAAGTAATAGTTTCTTCACAAGCACTCCAGCATCTAACAAATAATGCCTAGCCACACAAACCTTCAAGCCCAACACTCTGTGAGGCTAAGGAAGCAAGATTCCAAGTTTGATCCCAGACTGGGTAATTTAGCAAGACCTCAAAGTGGGAAGGAGGAGGCTGCTTCAGTATGGGTTCAATACCCAGCAATAGAAAAATAAACATATAAACAACATTAACAATGCAGTGTTCATACAAAGCAGTCAGATGCTATTGAAAAAAAAACGTTAGCTTTCCACTGGCAAAATTGGAATCAAAACAGAAAAGAGATCAGTATCATCCTTTGTAAGAATTAAAGCAGCTACTCATGTGGAAACTGTTTGAAAAGTGCTATCTATGGATAAGTGTAAGAACTGTTACTTATCCTTGGACACATGAAAGGAGGACAAGCACTAGAAAACAGACCACAGTTTTGTCCCTGAGGCCTAAAAAAAGCTGTATCTGTTTTCCTAGTCACAGTAGTACAATTAGAAACAAAGGAGCTGAGTCACTCCCTTCCCTTCCTTCACAGTAAATGCCACACGGCCCTAATGATTATCCATGTTTCCATAATCCCAAAACAGGGAAATTGTGTGAGCCACTTCCCTTCTCTCCACTCGGCCATAAACCAAACACCATTCTAACAAGTATCCACAATTAAACTGATATGGGGTGGGGGAAGATGGAGAACCTTGGATCAGTGGTATCTGACCCTGTAAGACCAGAAGCCTGAGTTATGGAGTGCCTTTTTTCCCTTCCCACTCAAGTACCTTTCTCCTTTCACCCTCCTTTTCCCTGTTTCTGCTACTGTCCCACGATCTTCAATAAAGGTAGCTACTTACTACACACTATGAGATGTATGCTTGGCAATTCTTTCCTTATCATAAAGAAGAACCTGGACATTTTTGGCCCACTCAACTGTAGCAACTGAACACTGCAGTCTGCACCTACAGTGCCACAGAGATGGTGAACCTTTGAGAGTTTTCAGTGGTACAAAGAGCCCGATAGAGTGCACATGCTATAGCTTAGGCACCACTGGTCCATAGTCTACAGCTCCGGATTAAGTTTTATCTGAGTTCCTTCAGAGGAAAGGGAGTAGTAAACATATCTGACTAGGTTGTCCTTACAAGATTTTCTAACTGAAGTACCATTGCATTACAAAGAAAAACAATTAGAAGATGGGGCTTGAGCCAGGCATGATGGCATACATTTATAACCCCAGTACTCAGGAAACTGAGGCAGGAGGATCACCATGGGTTCGAGGCCACACTGGACTACATAAGCAAGCCTAAGGCCAGCCTGCACTTTATAGTGAGATAGTCTCAAAAGAAAAGAAAAGAAGCCAGGCGTGATGGCTCACACCTGTAATCCCAGCACTTGGGAGGCTGAGGCAGGAGGATCTTTGGGAGTTCGAGACCAGCCTGGGCTACAAAGTGAGCTCAAGGTCAGCCTGAACTGCATAGAGAGACCCTGTCTCAAAAAGACAAAAAAAAAGAAAGAAAGAAAAGAAAAGGGTATTGGGGAAATTCACAAACATTTGATAAAAGGAATAAAATGAAAATGATAAGAGCAATATATACTAAATTCTATAGATCACGGAATACCTTAACAATACTGGTGACTGAACTTAAGGCTCTCTACCACTGAACTACATCCCTAGCCAATTTCTTTTTTTAAATTTTTTATTTTATTTTCTTCATTTTCAGATAGGATTTTTTTTGTCTTTTTCGTTTTTATCGGTACCAGGAATCGAACTCATGACCGCCTGCTTGCAAGGCAGGCGCTTACGCCGCTGAGCTAAATCCCCAGTCCCTCAGATAGGATCTTGATTAGGTACCCAGCCTAGCCTCTAACTTACAATCACAATCCTCCTGCATCAGCTTCCTGAGTAGCTGGAAGTACTGGCATGCACAAATATGCCTAGAAAGCAAGCTTTAATAACCCTATGAACCAGATTTTCTTGTTCCTGTTTTTCAGATTAGGAATAGGAGAGAAAGGTTAACATTTTTACCAATATTTCCAATAATCAATCAGGCAATTACAAGGATACTGAGCGAGGAAACAGGTCCAAACAGATTTGAGTGATCTGTCATACTAGAAAACTCTACCTCCAAAATTCATACCACAGTCACTGGTCCAAGAGGTTTAAACCACATGCCAAAGTCACATGCGGGCCCAAGTGAGGGGCAGATGCTAGAATTCAACCTCAGGAATTCTGCCTCCAAATCCTGGGTTTTCACAGTCACAAACCTTGCAGCTGGGACTGAAAGATGATCTTTTAAGCTTTCTTTCCTTCTCAATTGTACATTTCCATTTCTCATACAGGTTTCAGCACGACCAATCTCATCAAAGCACACCAGACAGCATGTACTACTCCAAGGAACCAAGGAACATTCAAGCAGCATAACTGCCTATAACCAGGAGATTCAAGAAAGGCAGATCTGGGCGTGGTGGTACACATCAGTAATGTCAGCACTTAGGAAAGTAAGGCAGGAGGATCACTATGAGTTTGCAGCTAGGATAAGCTATATAGTAAATTCAACCTGAATTATAGATAGTGAGACACTGTCTCAAAAAATAAATAAATAAATATATATATATATATATATATATACATATATATATATATATATAAATTGTAGGATGTGACAGTGCATGTCTGTAATCCTAGCACTCAGGAGTCTGAGGCTAGAGGACTCCAGTCACTTTTGAGGCCAACCTTTAAAGTCAGCCTGAACATAGTAAGAGACTCTATCTCGACAAAGAAGCAGGAGGCGAAGAAAAGAAGGCAGCAGGAAAGGAAGTGGAGAAATAGGAAGAGAAGGGAAGGGGAAGAAAGAAATAGAAAGTTTAAAAAAAAAAAAAACCCTGAAACAGAAAGTAGCCAAGCATAGTGGTATACATCTGTAACCCTTGCTCCTTAGAGAGTTAGGGCAGGACGATCACAAGTTTAAGGCTAGCCTAGACTACATTGGGATATAGTGTCTTTAAAAAGAAGAAAAACTAGTTAGTTATTGTTATTGTAAAAAGCCCACATTTCCTTTTAACACACCTTAGTCATAGATTTTTTTTGCACATGAGAAAGAGATTTCTTGAATATAAGGTCTCCAGCAGGAGAATCCAAATACTGTACTCACCTAAATGCCTAAGAGTCAGCCTTTAAATTCCTAGGATTATGTTCTTGACATGGCATAAACTGTCAAGAAAAAAAAAACTTCATTTTAAATTCTACCCAATCCCTCTTCTCCCTGTTTCCCCAAAGTTCATATATTCAAACTACACTTTCCATTCATACAGCCACCCACTTTACACTTGCTGACTCATACTGGGTTCCTAAAACTTTACTGGATTTCTCTATGCTCATTAGTTGCATTATTTGGCCAAAGAAAATAAGGTACAGGAGAAGAGGCCAGAATCCAGAAAAATTGTCAAAGTAATGCAAAATAAGCCAGGCGTGGTGGCTCACGCCCGTAATCCCAGTACTCGGGAGGCTGAGGTGGAAGGATCCTTGCGAGTTTGAGACCAGCGTGGGCTACAAAGTGAGCTCAAGGCCAGCCTGAACTGAGACCCCGTCTCAAAAAAGACAGGGGCTGAGGAGTTAGGTCAGCGGCATAAGCACCTGCCTTGCAAGCAAGGCGGTCGTGAGTTCAATTCCCGGTACAGATAAAAAAAAAGTATTGCAAAATAGTGTTTTAATTCTGATTACATTAGCCCATTGTTAATCCACAACCTATAGGACAACCCCTACGAAAAATAGATAAACCAGATAAAGTGCCATACACCTGTAATCCCAGCTCGTGGGAGGCTAAGACAGGAGATTGTTCAAGGACAGCCTAGGCTACATAGTGAGTTCAAACCCAGCCTGAACCACATAGCAAGATCCCTGTCTTATTTTAAAAATATATATAATATTCCCACATACAATTAAAGGGTTTAAACCAAGTATAATGGGTACATACCTATAATCCCCACTGAGACAGGAGGATCCCAAGTTTGAGGCCTGCCTAGGTTACATAGCAAAACACTACATAAAATAATAAATACAGCCCGGAATTTAGGATTTAGGTCAGTGGCACAGCACCTGCATGGCAAGCATGAGGTCCTGAGTTCAAGTCCTGGTACCAAAAAAAAAAAAAAAAATCAATACAGCAGGCATGGTGGAACATACCTTTAATCAATCCCAGCACTTGGGAGACTGAGGCAATAAGACTGCCTTGAGATGGAAGCCTCCACTACATAATGAGATAAAAATAAACCAATCAATATGCACACACACATACACATACACACACGCTAGGGGCTTAAGGATATGGCTTGGCAGCAGAGTGCTAGCATAGCATGCAACTGAAGACCAGTGTTAAAATGCCAGCATTATCACCTGCAAAAACCAAAGAAAACTTATAGGAAAATATGGTCATATACACAATTCAGTTAGTGATGCAGAGAACTAACAATGAATGAGAAACTCAAGGCAGACTTCTTTGAGGATTATAGGCAGTTCTGAATAAAATACAGCATGCCAATGCAAATAACATGAAGACTGAAGTAGGGAAGGAAAACAAGCTGGCTGCGTCAGCCAGAAGAGACAGTACCAGAAGTGACCTGAACAACAAAATAACTGGCAGGTTGCCCAATGGAGCACATGAAGGAAATCAGATATGCTACAAGTTTCCACAGACAACTGGGTTTCTAAGCAAGGTACTGACAAAAAGAGAGGGTAGATTTTAGAAATAACCAGCCCTTCGTGTTTCAAATGGGGAGGAAACCCAATAGCATTAAGTGACTTGCCTGAGTTCTCACAGCGAGTGCAAGAGCAGAGCCTAGAGCCAAACCAGATCAAATCTGTTACTGAAGATGATCTGACATTCATGTGAGAAATGAAGGGATTGGGGGGGAGGAGACATAAAATAGTCTAGTCATTCAGGTTTGTTCTGATCAAGGCCTGGAATAGGATCACATTGGAAAAGGGCCATGACAGTGAAGGAACAAGGTACAAAAGAACTAAGACATTCCATAAGAACGGAAAAACCCTCTAGAACTTAAAACCACATTAGACATATGGATATACAGGGAGACAGCACATAATAAACCACAACCAACCAGGTGTGGTGACGCATGCTATAATCCTAGCATTCAGTAGGCTGAGGCAGAAGGACATCCAACCCAGTCTGAACTACATAGTAAGACACTATCTCAAAAAAAAAAAAAAAAAAAAAGCCAAGATCCCTATTAAAGAATAGCAATCTCACCAGTACTGCTTTCTAGAACACTCACTTAGCAACAAACTAACAGCTTCCACTAAAGGTCTAGGCCTTTCTTACGCCCAATTGCAGAACCCAAAAAACTAGGAAGAACTACTTGGAAATTTTAACATCTGTGACTATTGCTTTGGGGTGATTCAGACTCCCGACTCACAGTACAATGATAAGCAAGGAACCAGAATGATAAGATGAGTGTGCAGTATTTACTAGAATGATTCTGTATCAAAAATTACAAGGGCTGGGAATACAGCTCAATGGTAGAGTACTTGCCTAAGTACTTGCCTAGAGTGCAAGACCCTGAGTTTCACGTCCCCACCACAAAGAAAAAGGAATTATGTCTACATTTTAGCAAAAAATAAACATTTAAATTTGACAATCTACATAATAACCAAGAAGTTTAAGCCATGGTTTAAAAAGCTAAAGTCCCAACGGCATAAGTCTGTAATCTCAGCTAATGAGACTGACAAAAGAGGATCAAAAATCCAAGGTCAATCTGGACAATTCAGCCAACTCTTATCTCAAAATAAAAATTAAAAAGGGTCAGAAATAAGCAAGGCATGGTACACATGCCTGCAATCCCAGCCCCATGGGACATAGAGGTAGAAGGATCACTAATTCAAGCCCAGCCTGGGCAATTTAACATGACTATCTCAAAATAAAAAATAAGCCAGGTGTGATGGCAAATGTGCAACTTGAGCACTTGGGAGGCCAAGGCAGGAAGATTACTACAATTCAAGGCCAACCAGGGCTACATAATGAGTCCAAGGCCAGTCTGAACTACCTAACAAGACTTGTCTCAAAAGACAAAATAGAAAAATACAAAAAGTTAAAATATGCTGGGAATATAAGGACCCTAGGTTCAATCTCCAGTACTACAAAAAGAGAAAAAAAAGCTAAATGGTAGAATAACTGTAATCCATTATAATTAACAGCCCTTAGAAGGGACCAGTAACATTACACAAACTTCTAAGGGATGTGTATCTGAATAAAGGAAGAACAGAAAACAACATATCTGCATGAAGCTAACCACCACCTTTCTATCTATACCAACAGATCTTTGGCTTCGTGTAAGAAACATTCTCAAGTGTAGTTTAACACTGGGGATTTAGCTCAGTGGCATAAGCACCTGCCTGGCAAGCATGAAGTCATAAATTCAATCCCTGGTAGAAAAAAAAAAAAAGAGTAGCTTAAGGGCAAGAGTAGTGACACACACCTGCAATCCCAGGTAGTGAGGCTGAGGCAGGAGGCCTGCTGGATTGCAGAGAGTTCAAAGACAACCTGAACTACACAGCAAGACCCTGTCTCAAAAAGAAAAAAAAGTTCTTTGAGAAGCAATGGTGTAGGATATTTTAAGGGTACAGCGCCCTAGGTGTACATACATAAACCAAACAGCCATCTACATGAACAAAATACCTGTTCACTTCAGTAAACCACAATTTTTTTTTTTTTTTTTTTTGTCTTTTTGAGACAGGGTCTCTCTATGTAGTTCAGACTGGCCTACTTTGTGGCCCAGGCTGGTCTCGAACTCACACGGATCCTCCTGCCTCAGCCTCTGGGAGTGCTGGGATTACAGACCTGGGATTATAGGCATGAGCCACTACACTCAGCTAAGTAAACCATATTTTATTAGCTACTCCTCAGCCCTAATTTTTTAAAATAAATTTAGTACTTAGTAATACATTTGATTTAAATGTAAGATCTATTTCACTTTCTGAAATAATACAGCTCAGTTCTAGGACTTTTATGCATAAGAAATAGAAAATAGTTGTTTTGAAAATACAATAGCGGTTAATTTTATTCAAGTTGCATTACTGAGTTCAAAGTACTTCCCCTAAGCTGTATTAATCCCCCAGCACCACTAGCAAGCAGGTGCTTGGCAAATATCCAGTTTCCAAATGAGATTCTAAAGCGCATCTTTTTAAAAATGAAACAGTCCTTGTCCTACTGGTAGACTTTTTAAGACCCAAACTCTTTCCCACTCTGTGTCTTCCTAAAAGAGAAAAAGGTCACAGGTGTCATTATCCCTTAAGCACCGATGTCAGCTGAGAGGAAATTAATCTGGTTGGAGAAGTCCTGAGAAATATGTGGAAAGGCAAAGACAAAAGAAAAAACCTTGTAAGAATTTTTGATGAGACGAAATTATGCCAAATATCTGCAGATTTTTCAAGCAGATGTTAGGGGCAAAGACTGACAGTTATGTGTGAATACAACGGAGAAAGGTAAGCATCCACCTCAATCTTTTGTCCCTCTACGGCAAAAACAAAGAATGTCCAAGGGACAAGAAGGTGGGGAAGGAAAGGAGAAAAAAATGACTCATGTACATGTATCAACTCCCCCACATATACGTACTTATTAAGATGTATTAAAAACGTCTACTAAGGCCAGGGATATAGCTCAGTGGCACAACATCTGTCTAGCAAGCGTGAGGTTGTGAGTTTGATTCCCAGTACCCAAAGAAAAAAAATACTAATAAAAAAAAAATTAGTTTAAAAAAAGATGGTCAAGCGGTTCCTTCAAATTACTTTTTCAGTGCTATAGATGAACCCAGAACTTTCCACAGGCTGGGTAAGCACTCTACTACCAAGCTACATTGCCAGTGCAAATCACTTCTTTTCTTGATAAACGTATGAAGATTGGTGTAGAGAAAGAAGCTTATGGTGGGCTAGAAGCAATACAGTATTAGAAAATATGCTCTCACGGGTTTGGGTTTTTTTTTTTTTGTTTTTCTGGTACAGAGAAAAAACAAGCACATCTAGCTAGAATGTTATCAGAAGTAAACCACCAGGAGCCTGGAATCCTGTGAATAATCAAAGAAATTCATGAGGATTCCTTTCCGGTTTGAGCCCAGCATCAGGCAACCCAAACAGTCCACGCAGAGACCACCTCCAGAGTAAGGCAAAAAGAACAGAATCTATAGCCACTCAACAGAGGGAATACCTGCACCAGGACAGACACTCTGATTTACAAAAAAAAGCAAGCCGGGTGTGGTGGCACACTCCTGTAATCCCAGCACTTTGGAAACTGAGGCAATCGGATTGTTGAAAGTTCGAGACCAGCCTGGGCTACAAATTGAGCCCAACACCAGCCTGAACTGTAAATGGAGACTCTGTCTCGGAAAGAAAAAAGATAAAACAGACATGAAAGGCTGTGTGCAGGCACCCCTTTAGGAGAGGGAACCTGCGGGAAGGAGTTCAGATGGTTTAACAAATCAAAGTGTGCTCAGAAAACTGGGTGACAGAAGAAAACCAGGGATTACACACACCTGTAATTCCAGCATTTCAGAGGCTGAAACATCAGAAAAAGCATGAGTCTGAGGCCAGTCTGAACTACCAAATTGGAAAAAAAAAAGAAAAAGAAAAAGGTAACAAGCAGAAAGTGCTGTGCTGAACAAAGATAAGCGCTCACTATAGGACAGAAGGGGAAATGGGTGCACTGAGCAGACTGAGAGAGAGTACCTAAAGGAGAATGTAGTTCCAATCAGAGAAGGAAAGAGGAATGAAAATGGTGGCAGTTTTTCTTCAGTGGCAGAAAAACTAAAAAGGATAGAAAGGCACTTTTCAGAAAGGAACACTCCTTGGGTGTGGTGGCATATGCCAGCACTCTGAAGGCAGGAAGATCATTACCAGTCTGAGGCCAGCTAGGGCCACACAGTTGAGTTCAAGGACAGCCTAGGCTAAGCAGTGAAACCCTGTCGCAAAAAAAAAAAGAAAGAAAGAAAAACCAGCAGCATCAGGAAGATGGTTACATTCCTACAGTTGAGCATTTCATACTAAAAGGGAAAGATTTAATACATTTAATAGGAATAGAAAGTACATAGGCTCTTGAGAAAATGAATCTTCCCTAGGACACAAGGGAGTTTGGGGAACTCACAAAAGGGTGCAGCCCCAAAGATAGAATGACTGAAAAAAAATCAATCAATCAGCCAAGCACGGTGGCCCATTCCTGTAAACCTAACACTAAGGAAGCTGAGACAGAAAGATCACAAGTTTAGGTCAACCTAGCCTATATACAGCAAGACCCTACCTCAAACAAACAAAAAGAGTGTTAATTTCCTTATTTGTGTAACACAAAATGTGTCCAAAAGGCCAAGATTTGCACCTCATTTTTAGTAGATTCCAGATTTGAAGGCTAAAAAGGGAAGTGCCTTTAAAATTTACAAAATTCTGGAAACATGTCAGATTCAGAGCCTGGAAAACATTCTTCCTTGGAGTTGTGGGAACGTATGAAACTATCCAAACACTTTTGATTACCAGACCTCGTATTTGAGGAACCTGTTAACAGAGGAACCCCCAAACTGGAAAAGTAGTATATAGATTGGAGATTTCAAGGTATGTGCTCCCCATTTGGGGGATCAAAGGGAAAGGTAATGGGTACCCCCTCAATTGGGGGGAACTTAGAAAATCTCAGTGTTACAGCTCAAGAAATGGGGTGCGTCGTCCAGATTTTCAAAACTGTAAAGGAGACACTCCCACATTTGGGGGTCTTGAAAAAGGGGTGTGCTCTCCAAAACAGGACAAAAGGTAATAAAAGAAAGCGCAGTACCAAGGCACAAGGCAACAGCAAGGACTGGTGATATGGCCCTCGGGGGCCACACAGCGCTGAGTCTGGCCCTGGCGCGTTACCCTCCTACCCCCAATACCGCCCGCTCCGCGCCCCGGGCCCGCAAGGGCCCAGCCCCCTCGAGTAGTGCTGATTGGCCGCAACCGCCGTCACTCCCATGGGGAGCCCTCGGGATTGGGCGCAGTTAGCACGCCCGCCACGCTCTCAGCAGCGGTCCCCAGGCCTCCCTCCGGGCTTGGGCGAACGGGGCCAAGCAGAGAGCGGGGCCGGGCGGGGACCAGGGCTGCGGTGGCGCCTGTCACCGTTCTCGCCTGCACAGCGCGCGCGCGCGGCGCTGGCCCTCCCCGACCTGGCCCCAGCCAGCCTGCTTCGCCTCGCCGCGCCTCGCCGCGAGCTCACCTCACGGCCCCGCTCCTGCTGCGCCGCTCCAGGACCAACCGACAGAAGGACTCTGCGTGCTGCGCACCACGTGACCCCAGGGACGCGCCCAGCGTATCCCCCGCCCCCCACACACGCACCATCGCCACCACTGGGTGACGCAGCGCCCAGGCGGCCCCGCCCCCTGTCCCGCCCCACCGATCACCGGGGCGACGGCTCTTGCAGACCGCGCCCACTGACTTGAGGCGCGGGAACCAGTCTTGCGTAGGCTCAGGAGCACGAAATTGCTCTCTACTCATCTGTAACCAGAGATCACGCGAACCACGCTGCTGGTTATTATCCACCGTCTGTTAATTTTGTCTCTTAAATACATCTCAAAGTCTCCCACTTCTCTCCATCCTCAGCTCTAGGCCATCCTCACCTCTCTTCAAAATGATGGTAGTCACCACCTCTCTAAACTACCCCTTATAGCCCATTCTTCAACGCCAGCCTCGTAACTAAAGGCTGTTTACCCCTCCTCTCCAGATTAAGATCTAAATTTTACACTTACCTATCAGGCTCATCGGAATCAAGATCTGGGCCGGGGATTTAGCTCAGCGGCATAAACGCCTGCTTGGCTCGTGAGTTCAAGCCCAGTACCACAAAAAAAAAAAAAAAAAAAAGAAAGAAAGAAAAGAAACCAGATTGAACCTGTCTCTCATTCTCATACATTCAGCTATCCTACATTCTGAGTGTCCTTCAAATTGTCAAGTGAGCCAGATGCCTTCTCACCTCAAGGACTTTACCCTCATCCTTCCTCCACTTAGTGATTAAATCCGAGGAAAGAAAGGGTCCCAACTGCTACTGAGGCAAAGTTCTATTTTGTCTCTGAGGACCAAGCTCTAAGTTGGCAGTCACTAGAGAAGAATCTGAGGTGTTTTCTCATTGAAACAAGCACGTGTCAAAGTGAAATGCTAAAATTTGCTGCCTACATGAGCAATAACGACTATTTTACACTGGGTAGAAGGGGCAGCCATATTGTACTCTTAAAATGTAAATCTAATCATGTCACTGTCCTACTTAAACAACCCATCAATCAGTCTCTTCATCAGCATTGTACTCATCGCTCATCTCTGACCACACTGTTGGTCAGTTTCTATGTTTGTTTCCAAGTTTTAGCCTCTGAGCCATTGAATAGCCTGCTATTTATAACACTGACTCTTCATCATGTAATCAAGTCTCAGTGTGTCGTTTCCTAAGTGAGGGCTTGTCTCACCACATTACCTAAAAAAAAGCCAGATCACATACCCCCACCACGGCAGTTACTCTCTACCTTACTTCTGGCCATTTTCAACAGAGCATTCTAGAACTTTATACCTTCTGTAATCGCTTCATTTCTTTGTCCTCTTAAATGTATTGCAAAAAACCAAAATCAAAAACAGAGGAGTAAGAAGCCAGGGATTTAGCTCAGCAGCATAAGCGCCGGCCTGGCAAGTGCTAGGTCGTGAGTTCAATCCCCGGTACCAAAAAAAGAAAGAAAAATAGAGGGGTTGGGCTGAAAGTACAGCTTAGTGGCACAGAATCGGCCTAGCAAATACAAAGTCCTGAGTTTGATTCCTGATACCAAAAAAAAAAAAAAAAAAAAAAAAGGAAACGGAAGAGTAACAAGTATATGTATGAACATGCACATGCCAAAATGAGAGTCACATTTTTTGTATACCTTTTGTGTGGGGGGGTTGGGGGGTACTGGGAATCAAACTCATGACCTTTTGCTTACCAGGCAAGCACTTGAGCCACTGAGCTAAATCCCCAGCCCTATTTTGTATACTATTTTAAAAAGTGTATTCTGGGCTGAGGATTTAGCTCAGCGGCATAAGCGCCTGCCTTACAAGCAGGCGGTCATGAGTTCGATCCCTGGTACCGATAAAAACGAAAATGACAAAAAAAAAAAAAAATAAAAAGTGTATTCTTTTATTCTGGGAATGTAGCTCAATGGTAGGGCATGTGCTTAGCATGCTCAGGATCATGGTCAAAAACCCCCAGAAAAAAATCATGATTCTTTTTTATTATATGGGCCTATTTCCCATGTGTGAACTAACTAGTTCACCACTGAATTATCAGAATATGTTCTATAGATTGTAAATACTTAATGTGAACCTGTGGAAGAAATAAAAGGAGGGGCTGGGGATTTAGCTCAGCGGCATAAGCACCTGCCTTGCAAGCAGGCGGTCCTGAGTTCGATCCCCAGTACCGATAAAAAAAAAAAAGATTAAAACAAACAAAAAAAAAAAAGAAAGAAAGAAATAAAAGGAAAGAGAATATTTTTTTTTTTAATCTTTTTTGGAGACAGGGTCTCTCTAGCAGTTCAGATTGGCCTTGGGGACCAGGCATGATGGCTGCACTCGGGAGGCTGAGGCAGGAGGATCCTTGCGAATTTGAGACCAGCCTGCACTACAAAGTGAGCTCAAGTCCTGCCCCAACTACAGAGACCTTGTTTCAAAAAAGACCAAAAAAGGGGTGGGGATTTAGCTCAGTGGCACAAGTGCCTGCCTGGCAACAAGCATGAGGTCATGAGTTTGATCCCCAGTACCACAAAAAAAAAAAAAAAAAACCAGATTGGCTTTGAAATAATATTTTTTAAAATTTAGACGGTCTTTATGGCCTGAGTCCAAAGGAAAGGGTTTTGCGGGTTTTTGTTATGCTGTATTTAGTTTTTGATACAGGGTTTCATTATGTAGTTCAGGCTGGCTTTAAATTCACTGAGTTTGAGGCTGGCCTGAAACTCATTGTGATCCTTCTGCTTTAGCCTCCTGAGATTTCAGGCATATGCCACAACACCTGAGCTATTTTTTGTTTTGGGGGGTTTGTTTGTTTGTGGCAGTTTTTTGTATTTTTGGTCTTGGTTTTGTCTTTTTCTTTTTGAGACAGAGTTTCACTATGCAGTTCATGGGAGCCTTGAACTCACTTCATAGCCCTTATTGACTTTGAACTTGCCTCAGTCTCCCAGGTCAGCTGAGATTACAACCATGCCTGGCATGGTTTGTTTTATTTTTAGGGTTTGTTTTGGTTTGGTTTGGTTTGTCTTTTTGAGACAGGGTCTCTCTATGCAGTTCAGACAGGCTCCGAGCTCACTTTGTAGCCCAGGCTGGTCTCGAACTCATAACAATCTTCCTGCCTCAGCCTCCCGAGTGCTGGGATTACAGGTATGAGCCACCATACCTGGCTAGATATTAAGCTTTGTTTTTTTGTTTGTTTGGGCACTGGGGATCAAACTCACAACCTCATGCTTGCCAGGCAGGCGCTTACACCACTGAGCTAAATCCCCAGCCCCCTTTTTGTTTTTTTTGAGACAGAGTATTGCTATGCAGTTCAGGCTGGCCTTGAACTTTCTTATGTAGTCTAGGGTGGCCTCAAACTCATGGTGATCTTCCTGGGATAACCTCCAAAGTACTGGGATTACAAGCACGTACCACCACTTCCAGCCCAAAATGGTTTTTTGGAGGCAAAGTCTCACATAGTTCAGGCTAGCCTTGAAATCAAGGCAATTCTCCAGTCTCAACCTCTCAAAAGCTAGGATTACTTACAAAGTATTCTGGGATTACAGGTATGTGCTACCATATCCCACTGCCTAATTGCAGCAAGTGGACTACACAGTGAATTCTGGCCTACCTAAACTATAAGGAAAACACTGTCTCAAAAATAAATAAATAAGATTTGAGACTATCTGTAGTTATGTTTCTTCTTAATATTTCCCACAATGACTTTCTTTGGTTTTCTTGTATTGATTTCTTTTTTTTTTTTTTCTTTTTCTTTTCTTTTCTTTTCTTTTTTTTTTTTTTTTTTTTTTTGAGACAAAGTCTCAGTATATAACTGAGGATGGCCTCCAACTCAGGGCAAGACAAAATAAATAAATAGCTCAAAGCCAGGGATGGTGGCATATGCCTACAACCCTAGCTACTTAGTAGTCTGAGGCAGGAAGATAGCAAATTGAAGGCCAATCTAGTGGGCAATTTAATGATACTATATTTTAAAACAATAAAAAGTGCTGGAGATTTAGTTCAGTGGTAGAGTACTTGTCTAGCTGATCAAAAAACCCTGGATTTGGGCCAGGGATTTAGCTCAGAGGTACAGTGTCTGCCTGGCAAGGGTGAGGTCCTAAATTCAATTCCCAGTGCCCTCCTCCTGCACAAATGAACAAAATCCTCTGGGTTCAAAAAAAAATAAAAATAAAAATCCTCTCAATTCGATCTCCAGTACCACAAAAAAAAAAAGAGCTCAGATTTTAGAATTTTTTGCCCCTCAACCCATTAAGGACAAAAACCCCAAATTCTCTAGCCTAATGTAAATACAACGTGCTTCACTTATTTAACCTGCATGCATTGAGTTGACTTAGCCTAGACACTAAAGACCAGGAGCTGACAGCTTTAAAAAGAAATTGTCACAATTTATAAGTTAAAATTCTTTGAGTGTTTTGTTTTGTTACTATTTGAAATACAGTGGGGACTGGGGATTTAGCTCAGTGGTATAAGCGCCTGCCTTGCAAGTCTGTGGTCGTTGAGTTCGATCCCTGGTACAGATAAAAAAGAAAAAAGACAAAAAGAATACTATTTGAAACACAAGTATAGACACTGTTACAAGAACAAGCAAAAGAGAATTATAAAACAAAGTTATTGGAAGCCCTGAGCAGGAAGAGGAGAGCAGATTCAGAAAACAAGGAGGCACAAGGACAGCTCAAGCCTGAAGCTGCAGTAGCTGCTGCCAGCAACATTACAAACAACTGCTGGAACTCTGTCCTACTACCCCTTTGTCTTTGAATCGCTCTCATGAGAGGCAAAGTCTTGGACAGCAGCCACTGATGATTGGCTAATCTCAGGTCACATGAATGAGTCCAGTTGCCAGGCAAAAAAAGTCAGGAATGAGTTGTCCCTAAGAATATGCTTCCTTAGAGAAACAGAAGGAGGTGAAAAGAGATTAACCCTGACCAGGCAAAAATAACCTGATGTACATACAAATAAAGCACCTTGGGACCTAAGCTCTTTCTGATTACAGATTTGCAGAAGCAAGACTTGCCAGCTTCTTGTAAACTGGACATCAAATTTAGAAAGTTCTGACATAAAGAATAGGGTTT